AATATTATATATATTGTCATGTACAGAAGCGTTGGATACGTCAGCGCTGACACTGACGGCGACTCGACGACTAGAGATGGAGAGTAAAGTGAGATCGTTGGAGTTGGAGACGGCTCTGGAAGCGGAGCGAGCGAAACTAGCAGCCCTCCGTAAGAGGCACTATCATCTCGCCCAACAAGAAGAGGTAAGCAATATCATTTATATTTTACTTAAAATAACAAAAAAAATGTCAGTATATGTATGTTGTAGGCCAATTGTTGTATTGGGCCGATCGAGATCTGCCCGGGCTTATCATGATATGCCGCCTTTTCTTGATTTGGCCATGCAAATCACGATCAGTCTTCTTAAATGTTTGCCAGACCGACGAGAGCAACGTATTTGATGATTTTCTTTGTTTCAATAAATAATTATTATAAACTTCATTTTATTTGCTTACATACAGAGAGGAGTGAGCTCGGGTTGTTGGCCACATAGTCCTCTGCTTACATAGTCCTTTGGGTTACGCTACAAATCAGCCTGAGTATAGTCGGGCAATTCAAACGTTAAATATTGAACGATATGGCGGATGATAGATGACCAAATCAAAATATGGCGGCATATCGGGCATATCTTGATCGGCCCTATACGATTGGCCAACCACGAGGTTTTTCAAAGTCTGTTACATTATATGTTTTAACTGTTGAAACAGATTTAACGTGTCCGTCGTCTAATTTTAACTCTCCATATGATAATTCTCCTCTGCTATATGAACCTTCAGGTTTTCACGACTGCCCAGAAAAGGGAGTGTATTGTGTTTTAGGGTTAATGTATGCTTGAGATCTTTATTCAGTTATAATTTTTGAAAGATTTAATGATATAAATATAGGTTATCATTAATAAGGTTGCATCATCCCGAGTGACACGGGCTATATATATTTTAAATATACAATATAACGGATGAGTAACGCCATTTTATAAAATTTGGAACATACATTTTTCTTTCAGTGTAACAAAATAGGTGACAAATTTAATATGTTCATGAGTACATTGTAAATATATCTCACATGCATAATTAACTGCTCATTAAAAGGGATAAAAAGAAGGACTAAAGTCTGGTACAAAACAGAGAATTTCGTACAATGAACCGGTATAACTTGTCTTTTACATTTACTTTCACATAATGTTGACGATATTTATTATTAGGCACAAAAGTCAACGTACGAAATTGTTTCTGTTCGGCGACCGGGCTATATTAAATGTTACATTTGAATGATCATATGATTAGGTTCGAAGTCACTTGAAGCGCCATTTAAAAATTATAATTTGTTTTTTTTTTTGTTTCAGAACGGGAACATGGAAAATGGAAAAGAATGAGAGCATAATATTTATCAACGATTGAAAAAAAACACAGTGTTTATGTATTTAGTGTTAACGTTAGTTAGATATCAAAAGACGGGTAGTGAAATTGGAATTATATTGATTAGACGGTTTGCTATTTTGATATTTATTATCAGCAGTGGTCGGAATTAGGTAGAGTTATTCATGTACTTACACTGATTTCATACAGCGAAAGAATAAAGTGGATATGCCTCAAATGCCGAGATTAATTTTAAAGAGCAGAAAAAAATCCCGTGATTTTTTAAATAAAAAGTTATTTACTTTTACACAATTTAAACTACTGCACGCACGACGTTGCCAAACTTACATCAATGACATCGGATGTCCAAAGTTGCAAAATACCAATACGCGCGATGTTGCCACGAAGGTTCACATTAATATCAACATTTCGATGCAAGTACATAAATAACTCTACCTAATTCCGACCTCTGATTATCAGTTATATACGCGATTCCATTTTTTTTAAACAAATCATTCTGTTTGTGCATTTTTATACAACGAATTGATAAATTCCTTTTTTTTTAATTAATAATGATACGGGGATGTATTGTCTTCCTGCCTGAGGCTCAATTGACTAGATAAATTTATTCCTTTAAATGTATATTTGATGTGTTAACATCTCACCGACATCTATATCACAAAAATCATTATTATCGAAAAACATATAAGAATGAAAGGTAGAACGAAACAACAGCATAGTCACTAGATTTCATGTTGTCTAGTATAGGATCTACATAAAAAAAATATCTATGGTCTACTTTAGCTTCTGTTTCTAATTGCTACTCTGTGTTACATCAGCAATCAGAATTTGTAAGGAGAAAATTACTGTAGAAATTGTGTTCGAAGTAGTTAAATAATTCAGATACGCTGCAGATTAATATAATTATGTTATTTAAGTACCCAAAGTTAACAATACCTGTCCATTAAATTCTGTGCGAATAAAACATTCATCGGTATCTCTGCAGCAGTCGTATTTATAAGCTTTGCATTCTTAAACCAACAATATTGATTTCAACTTTAATAACGGGATATAAAGGTCGACTTTTTCTTAAACTTTTTTATTACAATTTGATTTGGTTTGTCCAATGTCATTGAAGATATTGGCAGTATAAATTTGATATTAGCAAAACATGATTACATTGGGTGTTCCAAACAATGTAATATAAGTTCCTATGTGGTGTACGGTGAATTTTCGTTTTCGCAGAGTAGATATACTGACGGTGAGCGGACGTACGATTAAAATGTATAGTGAGTCTTATTACAATACAAATAAGGTACATAATACATCACAATAGGTGACCGTCGTATCCATACTTAGATGCGTAGACATTGGCTGATCGCCAGATGGCGTGATACTTTCATTCTGATTGGCAGGTTTTATCGCGCTTTCTGCGCAGATATATCAGTTGTATTTTTAAAGGAACAAAGCTTTTTCAATCATTTTTCACTAAGAGTTGTATCTTATTTTACATATCGCACGTTGAGAACGATAGTGACAATGCAAAAAATGTGATTTTGAGTAATGAGCGATTAAAGTTCAAGAAATTGTAGTCAGCCCCTCTAAACGACGTATCGTCACTACGCCACCTAGCAGTTTCTATGCAAGCTACGTTCACAGGGATCTTTGCATTTTAAAGTTTATACTTAACAAAGAAAAATGTTGCCAAAAGTAAAAAATACGTCGTTTTTGGTTAGTGACATTGTCATTCTCAACGTGCGATATACATACTTCGATTGCATATAAACGAATAAACATGATTTTGGCTACGTTTTGATAGTATAGTTTATTCATATCGACTTATATCTAAATATTGCTCGATCTAATGACACGGAAGCTAAAGTATTCATAAACTAGGAATTAGATATGAATATATATTAAAAGAAACGCGCGGACGAATGACATGTGTAGATGATAAATAATATGTATTTACATCCCTTGACAGTTAGGCGATAAGAATAAATAATAACGACACGTAAGCTTTAAATTATAAAACTTAAGGTTTAGAATCGTGAATTGTGTTTCTATATGTAAAGATATATCTGATTTTATATTTAAATTTAACTTCATTATATACATAATAGAATATATTAATATCTTGTTTATATGTCGGTTTTGTAATTGAAATAATGTTGGTTAACGTTTGTGATTTTTTTTTAAGTTTAGTCATTAATAAAATTCGTAACTATATTTTATAAGGTATTTCTTACGTACATTTACTAATAAACTTTGACAACTGTTATTCGTATTTCATTTATTGTTATTCAGACATTTAAAAAAAGGACACAAATGAGTAGTATATTTGAGTTACATAATGAAGTAATATTTCATTTGATATATTTAATGCTGATAAATCTATGTGCCGTTGCCGAAACCCAGTGATACGCTCCGTGACCAAAATATGCCATTTATAGAAAGCATTCTTTGTGGACTTATCTGTGTAGAAAAGATAAGATACTGACGCATGGATAGATCTATAATTCATAAAGTTTATTTTTGAACTATTATGAGTATTTTTACGGTCATATTAGAAATTATATTCGTTTTTAGGGTTCAGTACCCAATAAGTAAAAAACTGGAAACTATTACTAAAAGTATCTATCGAACCGTGATAGACAGTTGAAATTCATAGATGACATTTCTCTTGCCTCTATAACAACAAATATTAAAAAGCATCATCATTATCCCTTTTACGTCCCCCCCTACGGGCTTGGTTGAGGAGGATAGGCTAAGACCCTTCAGGCAGGCCCTATGCGGATTGGAGGGTATTAACCAATTAACGGCTGTGAACCCAGCTAGGACCAATAGTTTAACGTGTCTAAACAAGGAGTAGTAAGAGATATATTTTGGTCAACTATCTCGTGACCGACACTTGCGAAAGTTTATCCACTACGCCACTATGCACGAGCTACTCAAACGAAAATCCACTTTGTCCCACAGATTTTTAGGGGGCAAAGTTCATGAAGCGTTACGGACCCCTTCGCACGCGAGTCCGATTCGCTCTTGATGTTTTGTATTTTTTATGAATTACAACTGCATTTACACATATAAAAGTGTAGTAGGCATTTATTAATATTCGCCATATAAATAACAGTTATCGGTCAGTCGGTCACACCCAAATACAGAGTATCATGCTTCATTAATTTTACAATTCCAATACTTCCCGTCTGCTATTCATTTCACCCAGTGACAAAAATAACTGCCAAAACTAGTGCCAAGTATATATTGTACAAGTTTTTTAGAAAAGATTATACATTCAAATATAAAAAGCTCCTACACTCATCTCCAATAGAAAACTCAATACATTTTTTAATACTCAACATTAATATTATGATATGCATATATTATTATTTTAATGATTAACTAATATGAACATAAGTATTATCCAATATGCTGAAAAAGGTATCATATAAATATGTAGTTAGGTACTTATTTCATATTCGCCTAGCCAATCTCACCCGCGTATTATGTAGTTCCAGTTTTAAAAATAGGTTCAGTAATTTCAGATCCTATTGAAAATATTTATTTTTATAATATTAGTTAAAAACTCTGTTATAAGTTTTTAACGTGATTTAAGTTCATTTTAATATAGAAATAGACATTACATTAAAACACAACATTTCTTACACATACTTTATTCGCTGTATGAATTAATACTGCTAATAAAAACTCAAGAAAGCGCGGCAACTTGTTAATAGTACTAATAATTACAAATATATTGTTACAAATCTAAAACTTAATTGATTACAAAATAATATTTACCAGTGGAACAACAAAATTTCCAGGACCGCAAAGCAAAATCTAAGAGAATTTTATAAAACATCGACATTAAATGTTCCAATTGTGGAATGATACATTCACCATTATACTTATGGTTAAAATAACATAAAACGGATCAAAACTATACCACATGGTATTGTGAAGTCGTAGATACCTCTTCCATTCTGCGTGCCATGAGATTTTTTTTTTACTTTTTTGTGCCGAATTCCCTTAAGTACCTGTGTATTATAAAGAAATTTCGTTCTTTTACAATCAACAGCACGTCAGACTATACAAAACTGTAGAATTATACCATTTGATATTAAACCTTAATTTTATCCTCAACCTCAAAGAACCTCAATTGAAAATCCATTGCAAAAATTTGACATGGCAATGGAATATTCCTTCAAGGTGCTCGCATGTCTGAAGTCGAATTTACATTACGAAAGTTTGCAAACTTAAAACAAGTTTTACGACACTAATTTCGGCACATATGAAACTACTTATAATCAACAGCAACTCAGACACTGGCTCCCTCACCATCGAAGCTTTCTACTACGAGCAAATTGTGTAGCGACACTATATTAAGGTATATAGAGGTGAAACTAGTTTCATTAAAAATATGCACATCGCACGAAACTAGTGTCGTGAAACTAATCCAACAAACATGGCGAAAGTGGACGTTTACACGTGCAACTACTATCGGAATTAATGATATGAAAGTTTTATGCAACAATTTTCGTAATATAAACTCGGCTTAATAGAGCCGAAACGAATTTTCTTTACACCTTGCGAATTAATGAACATTAGTATTCTGAAGATTCGACGCATATATTTTCATATAAATATTTCTAATAAATTCCTTTCTTTGACCTCCTCCATTCCTATCTGATTTTTACAATTGGACAATGGCTTTCATACAGCTACCAGGGAAAGCTGTATATTCTTGGACATTTTTGAAATATTTATGATTATAGCATAGTGCTACAAGATCCAGTACGTAATAAAGCTATTTCGGAGCGATACAATACAAATAATACAAAATGTGACAGTATTTATTGCACTAATTATGTAATAAAAGAGGTCTTACTCGAATTGTGGTTATTATTTTCGATCCCATTATGACAAGAAACTGTATAATTAAATCATACCCCAGATGTCAAGGGCCTCATTACAGATACCAGTTATGTTTATCACAATCAGTGGCACTAACTTTGTGCAAAACATATAATCTAATTACTATAAACTATTAGGCTCAAACTCACAATGATACCGGACTCTTACATAAAAATATATATTTTGTTGTACAACTAGGCCAATCAAACATCCTATTGTGCATTTTACTAAAGTCAATCCATTGAACTTCGAGCGTAACGGTAATTGTCACGTGATCTTTATCCATCTTGAAATTATCACATAAAAGTTAATTATATTAACTTGGGAACAAAATATTTTCATATTATCTATATGTGAAAACCTAATAACTAATATTTCGCCCGAAGTCAATTTTGAGCATATATTATGTAAGAAGCCATCATCCATCCAATGCAAGAATTAAGTGACATCAAAATCTAAATACGATGGTAAAACCTTCGAAAATTTAGCACCACATGTTGGCTTCTCACTTTCGTCAAAAATACTGTATTTTTAGAACCAATACTAAATAAGTATATGTTAATTTGGTTGATTTGTGTAGTATAAATGTTTTTATTAGATTAAAAAGATGACTAATCTTGACTCTCACAACCTTTACTGCCAATCAATAGTCTAATTCAATGTTTTAAATTGGTATCTTTCAATCCTTTATTATAACATGACTGAATTTAAGTTCTTTTTTTGTGTTTTGTTCTTCAATGATGTTACAAAGTTTATGTGTACTTACATAAAGTGGTATTCAATACTAATGAAGAAAAAACATTAACAATTAAGAGAGGTAAATGGCAAATGATAGAGGGAAAAATACAATTTTGTAATTATTCAGTAATCTGTTACAGTGGCGGTTCATCCCATTTAAGATGTTTCTCAGGAGTCAGATGGACAATGCGTACATGTACAGCTTGATTTTTCTCAAATTTGGGTGGAATCGGACAGAGTCGGTATATTACTTCATCTCCAGGCAGTGGCACAAACTCACCTTCAATGCTGTTGAGAAAATAATAAATTATTGAACTATTAAAGCATTCTAGGTTTCCCACTCCATAGCATTGATTTTTATACTTCTGGTTTAGGTTTTTGTTAAAAATAAAGATTGAATACTGATAAATCCACTCATGTTTATGTTTTTGGTTGCTATGTTATTTTTTTTTTGTTATTATCTTTGTTTAATTTTTTTCTGTTTTGAAATATTTTTATTAATAACATGTTATAGGTTTACTCCACATCCTTTATTTGCTACATTGTTTATATCCACAAAACTAGTTGGTATACTACTATTTAGATGTAACTTTTTTCACCTACCGCCTTTACATTTAATGTAGATAAAAATAGGTAGTAAAACAATTGTAATTAAAAGTAATTTGGGTCTCTTTTTTTAAATATTATTTAACTTAAAAAAAAATATTTATCAATGATATACAAAATTATAAATTAAGTAAATTTGTGTGGAATCTTCTTTTTAATTATTGGCATTTCCTTTTCTAGATAGACTTACACAATCAATGGTACTCTATTACAAAAACTCTTAGAATAATATTCTTATCCTTTTTCAATCTGGCCGCTCAATTGCAAAAGGTCATAGTCCTCAAACCATGTAAAAGGTCATGGTTTCGAGTCCCAGGGACAAATTGAATTTTTTAAGCATGTTTCATTTAATTTTTAGTATAGTATAGTAGTTACGGTATTGCAAAATTGATCAAATACAATACTCTCAGTATCAGTTATAGTATTATACTATATTAGTTAATCAATGACCTTGTAAATAATTTACACATCAAACTGAACTGTAATAATGATTCAAGTTCCATAGTTGTGTTAGATAAATAATTGTTATAGACAAACATAATTTTTATCATCAAATTCTCAATTATTAGATTTTAATTAATTAAGAATTGCAAATGACAAAAAATGGTACTAAAGAAGCAATTTACTATGATTTAAGTACAAAAGTAACTAAAGGAAATTTCTTTAAGTTACTTAACTATAACTTATTTTTAAATGTTTTGTATAGAGCACAATTGTCTTTCAATACTTACTCAGAAATGTGGACGAAGAGATCATCACCTCCTTTTTCTGGCGTCACAAATCCATGACCTCTTTCCCTGCAGAAAGATTTGATTTTGCCACTTTCCAGTGGATTTCCTAAAGCTCTCTCGGACCTGATACGTTTTTTAATTATTAATTGATAAAATTCAATAATAATTAACTAAAATCATTAAATTTAACTAACATACTTACGTTGAGGCAGTTCTATTTCGTCGCGTGATTATTGGACTTGGAAGTTGTAAATGTGAATTAGTCTTATTAGGGGAATCGTCGTTATTGAAACCATAATCATTAGACATCTTTATTTAAAAACTTGATAGAACAATAATCTATGCTTGTAATAATCTTAATGAAAAGTAAAAATGAGACGTCAAACCGATGCTGAATGAACGATAGCCATTAGCCATCAATACGTCAACGTCAGCCGTCACTCGTCAACAGTGTTGCCAACTAGATACGTGAGGTAGTAAGTGCTGATAATATCTCAAAAAGTGCTAGATTGCTAGGGATAATCCTAAAAAATCTGTATTTATGTTATTAATATTTTTTTCACTTGAGCAAAAAATAAATTTAAATAAAAACGTATGTTACGAACTGCCTAGCAGGCCGATGAGTTATTTTTAGAAGTATATTTTTTTGTTGACATTTTATTCTCCTTTTTTTTTTTGCTCTTTGTTCTTTCTTCGGTCATGTAAGTTAGCTAGTATTTAAGTTTGTATTTTAATTATTTTATTATTATATTATTTCCTAAACTTTGAGCCCTTTTTTTATTTCTAACTCCTATCATTACCTCCTATCTGTTACATTTGGTCCATTCGCCCGGCATTTGAAAATTTTTTTCACAAAATTTTTAAATTTCGTACCAGCCTTACAATAACTATGTTAACGAGAGCTCAAAGTAAGGCAATAAATTCAACCGCGATCGATGCGCCACAACCGGTGTCCGATGCTTCCCAAGTACCCGGAACCCCCGTTGCGGCCGCCTCGGTGGCCGTCGCTGCTTCATCAGTTTCAGTGTCGTCTACATCTTTCGTGACCATACGTGCCCGTACACTCGCCGTGAAAGCAGCTTACGCTCGCAAATTTGCGGAAGCTCAGCGAGCGGCTGCACAAGCGGAAGCGGAAGTACTCGAGATAGAACTGCAGGCTGAACTTGCAAGAATAGAAGCGGACGGCAGCAAGGGCGGATCCAGCCGTCGAAGTAACGGGAGTCGCATGGAATCATGGTAAGATAGTTGTGCGGATTTAAAGCAGTCTTTGGAACCCCGTGGTGCTGCCCCTTGCGGTGCGCTTAACTCTGTGCATCGCGGCACCGCGATCGGGAACCGCGAGGGTGGGTCGCGGTTCCCTCCGGCCTGCCCCCTATGCACCCTGTCGGAGCAACCATCGCCGACGCGCCTCACGCCGCGCGTCATGGTTATCCCACTCCTACCACTATCGCTCCCCATGGCGGCATCCTATCGCCCCCAGGCGCTACTAACGCTAACTCTGATATACGTTTTCTGGCAGAGACCATTCAAAATCTATCTAAAAATAATATAGTGAAGCATTTACCAAGCTTCGATGGTAAAATTTATGATTGGATTGCCTTCAAGAGAGCATACGATAGTTCTAAACAGTCGTATTCTCCCTAGGACAACTTATCTCGCTTAAACTCGGCTCTCTATGGCCCGGCTCGTGACGCTGTCGGTGCCCTCTTAGCCACGGCACATGATCCTAATGAAGTAGTGAAAGTTTTAGAATTGCATTTCGGTAGGCCCGAACTTATTGTTATTCACGAAGTAGCTGCGGTGCGGTCGCTGCCTAAGGTCAATGTGGAAGGTAAGGATTTGCATTTCTTCGCCAGCCGCGTCCGCAGTTGCATATCGGTAATGAAAATTTTAAATAACACTTCTTACTTAGAATCGCCAGAGCTTTATAACTCATTAATATTAAAGTTAACCCCTGCAATGCGTGCGCGGTGGAAAGACTATGCAAAGTCCCGTTTCCACTTGGGTTTGGCTACAAAGCTAGAGCTTTTGAGTGATTTTTTGGATGAAGAGGTCACGGCGGAGTTGCAGTTCGGGGCGATTACGGAGGCTTATTTCGCCTGATCGGCCCCACCATTCGAAATCGTTCCGAGCTGCGGCTTCTGATGTGGACTCGCACATAATTCAAAATAAAATAATTTCTGAAAATAAAAACACATAGTTTGTTTATATTGTCATCAATGTCACATCATAGACAGTTGTGACAAATTTCGTCATCTTGACATTATGGCCAAACTAAACTGGGTCCGTGAGGAAAAAGTTTGTACTAGGTGTCTAAAAAAAGATTCTCATCACTATAGGTCATGTAATCCTATAACTTTGTGCCAAATAGCAGGCTGTAAATTTAAGCACCACAAACTTTTGCACAGATTCGATACAATTGTTGAAGTGAATAGCGTTAAAGTAGAACATGAAGCCTCATCATCTTCACCTTCTAATGAAACTTCTTCCATAATTACCGTAAATCATGACACGGTAGCTCACTCCCTTTCAGAAGGGTCTTTCAAAACCCTTCTGAAAGTTATTCCTGTTACGGTGAGCGGCCCTACTGGTTCTGTGGATACCTACCCAAGTAGCACAAAACACCATTATATCAAACTTATGATAGCACGAGTCCAAGCGTTAAGCATTATAATAAAATCGTATATCAACCGTATTTCTTTTAAACGAGTCTTATACGTAAAATTTGGGCCCCCCCTTTGTACGACTTTAAGCTTTATAAACGCTGTGCAATAGCACTACAACTTTTGTATAATAGCATTAATAAAGTCGGGTAAAAGCATTCTAATAGCCACAAAAAATTCAATTAGCACCTTAAAGTGCTAATTGAATTTTTGTGACTATATTAAAATTGATATGCGTAAATCAAAATTATAATACGTTAATTTAATGTTATAAAAATGCTTACTGTTTTATTTCCTTTGTAAAAAAAGTATATTTAATAGATTTTAAAAATATATAATCGGTTTAAGTTATTGTTTTGTGTAAGTGTCATGACATGTTCTCTTGGCTGGTTGTAGGGACACATATGCCTACATGTACATGTACAGTTTAGTTTGTAAGATGTTTATAAACAATTTGTTAGCGTCTGTAGAACAAAGACTTTTTAACTAGTCGCTAATATACGGAGTTACAGAGTGAACGTGTTTTCTTATTTAACCTTCTGATAACATAAATAGGGTCCGACACTTAATACCCTAAAGTGGTGACCGGTGTTATGAACATTACGTTTTTAGTTGTTTTGAACATTTTATTTAATTAACATTTATATCACTTTTTTATTTTTTTTTATTAAAAAGTGCAGTATAAACAATGAATCCACAAAATGAAAGTTCTCAAGCGCGTGTTTCGGAACACAACACCGAAGTTAAGCCAGAGACTTCATCATCTTTGGACTCCATCACCATTTCATCGAGAGTTCCTGATTTTTGGGCAGACCAACCGCGACTCTGGTTTGTCCAATTTGAGGCTGTCATCCAGTCACAGAAACTATCGGACGCCGCTAAACAAAATTTAGTGGTTACTAAATTAAGTAAGGCTGCGATTACACAGGTGAGCGATTTATTATTATCACCACCAAGTGAGCACAAGTACCAGACCCTCAAAGATAGACTACTGCATGTATTTGAGGAGTCGGAGACGAGGCAGTTCCAGAAGCTTCTTGGTGAAATGGAGCTTGGCAGTCAAAAGCCTTCGCAGCTCTTACGGCGCATGAAAGATTTGGCCCGTGGGAAAATACCAGACGAGACATTACAAATCATGTGGAATAGCCACTTGCCATCACCAGTGCAAGCTGTGTTGGCCGTTACACAGGAGACAGATATAACAAATCTGGCTGTAGTGGCTGATAAGGTCATGGAGGCCACTGGGCATTCCAATATAGCTGAAGTATCAACCAGCAGCAACTCTTCAGAGCGTGAGTCAAAAGTTACATGTTCGGAGCAATCCGACCTGGCAGCGTTGGTAGAACGTCTCAGCATAGAAGTGGCGGAGTTAAGGCGCTCTCGGCAAGCGGATCGTGGTAGACCGTGCAGAGGTAGGAACTACAGTGCTGGAAACAGATTCAGTCGGGCACCGTCACAAGGTCGAGAGAGAGAGAATTCCAAAAACCGACGAAATACTAATTGGCTTTGTTTTTACCATTATCGGTACGGAGATAAGGCCGTAAAGTGCATTGAGCCCTGTAATTGGCGGAAGCCCAAGCCACAAGAGCCAGCGGAAAACTAAGTGCGATACGGCCGGAGGCGGAGGTTGGTATCGGGTTATCGAATAACCGCCTATGTGTTAAAGACAAAAAAAGTGGACTGAAATTCTTAATTGACACAGGTGCGAACGTTTCGGTTATTCCGGCATCGAAAAAGTGCGTTTCCGATTACAGTGCGAGTGATAAATACAAACTATATGCAGCTAACGGAACCGAGATAAAAACTTATGGTATGCGTACTTTAATTTTAGATTTAAATTTAAGGAGAGCATTTAAATGGAATTTTATCGTAGCGAATGTTAAACAGCCGATAATAGGAGCGGATTTTTTAAGCCATTATCAGCTGTTAGTCGACATGAGCGCGCGCAAGTTAGTAGATCAAATTACACATTTAAATGTTCTCGCATCTGTTGTTAGTCATAACGAATGTGAATTATCTATTAAAACTGTTTTAGGTAATAGTAATTGGCATGATTTATTGCTTTGTTATCCGGACATAACGAAAATAGTATCTTACAAAGAGACACCTAAACACTCTGTGTGTCATTATATAGAAACTACGGGCCCACCGGTATACGCTAAAGCCAGACCTCTCCCGCCTGACCGTTATAGGAAAGTTAAGGAGGAGTTTAGCCACATGTTGGAATTAGGCATTTGTAGGCCATCTAAAAGCGAATGGGCCAGTCCATTACATGTGGTACCAAAGAAAAATGGTGATATTCGGCCTTGCGGTGATTACAGAAAATTAAATGCCATAACAAAACCGGATCGCTATCCGATTCCGAGACTGCATGATTTTAAATATTTATTAGCGGGAAATAAAACTATTTTTACGCGGTTAGATTTAATTCGTTCTTATCATTTCGTACCGGTTGCCCCGGAGGATATTGAAAAAACTGCCATTATAACGCCCTTTGGACTGTTTGAATTTCCGCGCATGATCTTCGGATTACGTAACGCAGCTCAAACATTCCAGCGTTTCATGGATACCGTAGTACTACAAGGGTTAGACTTTTTATTCAGTTATATCGATGATCTTATTATCGCGAGCGAAAATGAAAGTCAACACAAAGAGCATTTAAAGGCAGTTTTCGAAAGATTTGATAAATATGGAATAACTATTAATCTATCTAAATGTGTTTTTGGTCAG